AAATGAAGTGAAAACGCCATCAGGGGACCATGAGGGGGAATTCTTCCTCTCCAGAACTGATCTGTGGAGGAAGGAGGAACTACAAACCAGTGAACTGTTAAATACTGAAAAACGTAGGTTGAATCTGAGGGATTTGTTTGCCTGGGGGGGTTTGCAGGGTTCAACCTTCACCCTGCGTTCTGCTCACATCGTGCTGTAGAGACCCCTCACAGCCTTCTCATGCTGAAAGCAGTTTGAATTTGAGGTTCAGCACAAAGCAAGAGAGAAGCAGCTTCCTATTTGGTGAAAAGCAAAAAGTACTTGCTTTAGATAAGAAAATCCATACCATCCCTTCCTCTCACCCTTTCAGGGGAGTTTCAGTGCACTGAAACTGTGATTTGTCAAACCCTGCTTCTAATGTTTGGTTGGATCTTGTGGGTTGGAGCAAAGTTGGAGTTCAGCTGAAACACATGTGGGGCCAAGGCTGACCCTCACGTGCTCTCTGTTTGTCAAGATAAATGAAAAGGGATTTCTCAGTTTGAGTCACCGGGAAAGGAGGATAAAAAAAAAAGACCATTTACCATATAGGTCAAAAGAACTTATTTTCACATCTCTAAAAAGAAACGGACAAGACATAAAATACCTCTGAAAACCAGTTCCTCCTCCATGTCTGTTCTCTGCAGAAAGCAAGCAGCAGTACATCAGTTCATCAGTCTAAACTGGACATGCCCTCGTGTACAGGAGGAAGCACTAATTGACATCAGTGAAGCCTCAGAGGTTTGCCAAGGGAGTTACTTACGGAATCAATCATGTTCACAGTGTGACAACAGCTTTCTCCTGTATTTCTCCTCATAGCACTGCAGATTTTCAAGCAAAATGATGCTGAGGAGGAAAAAGGGAACAAGAGGACTCCATTAAATGAATAAAATAGGAAAGGGCAGGTAAAGTCATTACCCGGCATCTTTTCAGCAAGGAACAACTAAATCAAAGCCTAATCAATATATTCCTTTCAACTAAAGTTCAAACACTTAAATCTCAGCCCCAGGAGACCAGGCTTAAAGGAGCTAAATTTACACTACTCAGAGGGCAATGATGCACTTGCAATTCAGAACAAACATCACCTGCCCATTAAACTCTGCACCTCCACAGCTGCAGCTAAAAGCTTCCCTGGTGGACAAGCCATGGAGCAGTTTCATGGTGGAGGCACTCAGCTCCTGTGAGAGGCATCCTCCCAGCTATGTCCACACAAGGCCCTCACTAGTCTGACACCCCACAGCAACAGAGCCCAGCAGGTGTCCCAGCAGCAGAGTGGCAGGATCACAAGGGAAACATGAAATGGCATCCTCAGGAACTTCCAGCACCACGGGCTTGGCTGGGCAAGCTATATTTGTACCTGGAATATCTGCCAGGAGCCAGACCAGGTGACAGGACAGAGAGCACATATCACATCTGTAACACACCCCACACCCTTCCCACACTCTGTGGGTTTTCAATAAGGGGTTAAGGGCTGCACAGGACAAGCACCCACAGCCTGTGTGACCACGATGAGGGCAATGCATGCACAGTGCACTCTCATCACCACATCCAGCACAACAGCAGGGCCACGTTCATCAGGCCAGCAGAACTCTTTATGCTGTCTCTGAGAAGAGCACCCAATACCTTTCCTTCTCCTTGTAACCATGACAAAACACTGCTGAGTCCAATATTTGTTATTTGAGCTCAGTGTTTAACAAACACCACATCCTGCTGTCAATTGCCACCTCCTCAGGTATTGAAGTCAAGCAAAAAGAACCTAAAAAGAAAACAAAGTGAAAGTGGCAGAAATTTTGCAGCACTTAAGAGGGAAGGGATAAATCATCATCCAACACAGCAAAAGTTTCCTCCTACAACACGCTTCTTTATTGTGGCCTTACCTTGGCTCATAACTGCCCTCATAGCTTGTCACTGTCCTGCTCCACTGCCAGGGAGCTCATTACTTGGGCACATACAAGCTAATTCAGCCATTTTTTAATTGACTTTTAAAACCTCCCACATACAATGCTGACTTTCAGGACCAACACTTCCCCTCCTGGGCTGGAAACTTCACCCAAACTTTGCCTGCAGACCCCAGCATCTCCTTTTCCCTCTCAGAAGGAAGCTTGGCTCTCACCAGTAGGTCCAGACTGGGCTTTCCTGGTAGCTGGGATTTACTGGCATATCTGCAAAGACTTGTGAATTATTCAGGAGGAAAGCTTTATTGGCAATAACGTGGGTGCACATCATTCATTAATACCTTTTCTGAACAGGTAATAAAAAAAAATCATAAATGCTGTCATTTCCACTCAAATGCACCATGACTTCTACAAACAGAAGTAAAGCAGCAGAACTTGCTCTGACATATTTTTGTTCAGAGTTTGAATAAAATAAGAGAAATGTGACAGATATGATGAGTCATAAAATGGCACTGGCATTCTGTTAGGCATTTTAAAAACCCCACCCTACCCAGAGAAAAGGCTTATAGATCAGTTTCAAAAAATAATGATTAAAAAAATCAGTGCCATCGGTGTCCCTAAAGAGTTTTAGGAAACATAACTTTTCCCTCTCTTTCTATAAAATGAAGATATCTAATCTGGACTGTGTGAATACATGAGCTTCATCGTAGCCATTCACAAAATTTAATATTCATACAGTATTTTCTCCTGCTCGTCATGCAGCTGATCCCCTACTCTATTTCCTGTCCCCTCACACCGCTGCCTCCCACTGATCCCTGACTCCCTTATCTCTTCCAAGCTCTCCAAACAGACAGATGCAGAAACGCACTGCTGTCAGGATCGAGTAGATAAAGCAGGAATCAGGGTTTGTCTCTGCAAGCAGCACTGTCACATATTCCAACCAGTACAGCAGGTGCAAGAAAGCAGTGCCTGTTGGTCAGGCCAGCAGGAAGGTGGCAGGTCAGGGGTTGGGAGATGAGGAGCAAATGGAAGCCTGAGGGACATTTATCAATCACTGCCATTCATGCAATGTATATTTTAAAGCTTTAAATATTACCACTGTACTGCCATTGATTACATTTGGGCAAAATGCACCTTAAAACTACAGCTGAGCCAGGGAAGAATCCCTGTGGAACAGCCTGGGAGGAATGGAATGCCCAGATCCATCTGCTGCCTGAGGGAGATGGATGCTGTGGAGGCGAGAGGCTGCACAGTTATACCAGACCTGGTGTGCTTGTATTTTCCATTTTTACAGATCTGCAGACATAGCCAAAATTGCTGAGGGATTTCTGCAGCCCTGTAGAGGCCCCCTGAGCTGGTCTGTTTTATCCACCGTTGTGTTTTATCCGCCGGCTCGACGCGTGTCGCCGCTCCCGGTCGCTGCTCACACCAGCGCAGCTGCTGCTGCTCCTTTTTTTCTTTTAAAGCCACAACACAAAGATCTCGTGGCTACAAGGAACAAGCAAATGATTAACCGGCTGTGCTGTTTGAAACACACTTCCATCTGCAGCTCAGGGCACAGATTCCAGCATCAGCTGCAAAATCACCAAGGAGAGGTTGGGGGCGTTGGGTTCCACACCAGCAGAGAGGAGTATCTGCAGGGACTGCGGGAGCTGCCGGGCTTCAGGATCCTACACCCACCCACGTCAGTGGGGGAACAGACAGGACACTGCTATGGCCACTTAAAAACCACACCAAACTTCAACAGAATTAACCACTCGATCCCCCAGGAATAGTTAAAGAGTTGCACAAGGCATGGCATAACATGTGGACAGCTCGGTTCATCTGAAAAACAAATTTCTCCATTACGTAACTAAAAAATGATAAATCATGGTAAATACTGGTTCATTAAAGTCTCACAGTCCATAAGATTCATGAGCTCAGCCATGAACACCCCAGGTTTTCAGGTACATACAGATGCTTTCATTCATCTGAAATGAGACAAACTGGAAGGGGGAGGGAAAAAAAAAAAAAAAAAAGGGACAAAAGACCCCTCTTAGCTTCTCTTAAAAATGGTTTAATTAAATATTCCTTCCTTTTCCTTCTTGCTTCTTTTTCAGCAGGTGTAAATCTTAAACATTCCGCACAGCACAACCCAAACCCCCAAATCTCTTCAGGGCACAAACTTTCAGAGAACAAAAGACTTCCACAGAACCCCATTTCCCAGTGAGCACCCCAGGAGACGTGGCTGTTAGACCTGGTTTGTCAACATTACATGACTCCCTGAAATGAAAGGCCTTGGAACACTGTCTCCCTTGGGATGCTCCGCTGGAGCGCTTTTATCCTTGTTCATAATTCTCACTGAGACAGAACTACTGAAGTGCCAGAACTGCTGGAGGAGGACTGACTGGGGCTGCTGTAAATACATCCGGCTGCAAAAACCATCTAATGTTTCTGGAGAAAGATGCGTGACATGATATAAATTCCTGGGGCCTACTTTTGACTATTTCAGTGTAAAGGTGCTACAGAAGCACAAATTGTTATTACAGCATTAGCTGGTACAACGAGGCATTAGGAAGAAGAACTGCCTCAGTGCCTGGGGGAAATCAGGAATGAGAATGAATTACAGAAACTGATACAGTCACACATGCCCTGTTCTAAAATGTATTTGAAAAAAAAACGATTACCATAATAAAAGTAAATCCATTTCTGTTCTGCTTATTCTCTGCAGACAAAAGAAAAGGTTGAACATTTTTTTCACCAATTAAAAGAGGTAAAGAATCAGGACTTAAAACATCAATTTAATTTTGTGCCCAAATGATCTGATGATCTGAAAAAAATTAGAGTCTAATTCGGGGATGAAATTCAAGCAGTAAATGACTTACTTTCCTCTCACACCTTCTTTCAAAAATGATTGAGCAAGAGCTTCCAACACAGAAGCTGAGCAAACTTGAACCATAACTGCTGTCCTGCCTGTCTGTGTGAAATCTGTCCTAAGAAACACGAACAGAGCCGAACACCCTTTCCTTTTTCTACTTAGTAAACTTTGAGCAAACCTGACATTAGAAAGTAGGGGATTCATCTTTTCCCTTAACATTCTTTGTACGACAGCCCCAAAGGCAAACATAAGGAGACAGAGGAACATCAGTGTAACAAGGGGTTTATTTATTTATCCAGTTTGCACCAATGTCACCATTGCAGGGGACAGAAGATATTGAGCCCGGATTGATCTCCATGGCAGGCAGCTGGCAGTGCAGCATCGTTACAACGCAGGCACAGGGAGAAGTCTATTAATGAGCTCCAACTACTAAATTATTGACTAGTTAAGTACTGCAAATTTGGTCTAATTGTTTTCATGATGGGAGTTTAATTAAAGTGTCTTTTGTATAAAAAGTCTAGCAATATCCTTGTTCAGATAGTGTCAGGGAGAGTTTCCAAAGCCTGCCTGGCTTTCAAAGCCAAATTAAAAGTTACATCCAATGCAAAGCTCTTTTAAAGAGGGAGCTTTTGTGCAGGAGAGAGCTTTAATTCCCAGCTCCAGCTGACAAGCCCTGCTCCCAAACCATGTGCACCTCTCCCCATCAGGCAAACATCTCACCCTGCACCCACCACATCATGAGACAGGCTATGGCTCCCTCAGGCCATGGGAAATGAGGGAAAGGCTGGACAATAATGGGAATCTGACAGCATTGGAGGGATACAAAATCATAAAGCAAAGAAATGTTCCCAGCAGAGGCAGAAAGCAGTCAAAGCAAAACACTGAGGGGCAGCAAATGACACCAAAAAAAAAAAGCTACACAGAGTTTCTCCACAGCAGAAAGACAGGTATCACCCGCCCAGACACAGAAATTTGCCAGTTCACAACTTCAGCTTAAATCCAGGCATTTACAGGGGAGTTTGACCACCAAATTTCCCTTTAGTTTGGCACCAGGGACCCTGCCCAAGCAAGGTCAAGCTCAAAGAAAAGGCAAGTAACACATGTCTTTAGGGCAAGTGCAGGTGAATTCCTCCAGAAATTGTCCCTAACCCAAACACATGCAAGTGGAAGGGAGAAGCTGACAAGACACAGACTGGTGTGTCTTTGATTCTCCCACAGCAAAGACCAGAAGCCCTGGAGCCCTCCCTCTCAAGCCGCGTCTCATGGCAGTGATGGAGAACAACGGGGCAGTGGCAAGAGCTCAGCCAAGACGATAACACAGGTGCTTTCAACATCCAAATATACAGATATGCCTCATCATGCCTTTTTTCATGGTTTATAATTTATTTATGGTAATTCCTCTTTGCTACTAGATCTTTTCAGACATTTATATGCTCTCCTTGGAAGCACCCACAAGAATTCACTGTACAAGAATATGGAGCAGTTGGCAGCAACAAACCCACATTTATTTAGGGCAAAATAAATGCTTGACACTAAAAGGAAGAACTACGCTGTGGTTAAATTGCCTGTTTGGCACTAAGCAAGTGTCACTTCAATTGCCCCAGTTCCATCAGGGACACCAGGAAGGTTGCAGTCTCCCTTCACTGACTTGCAGTCCTCTAGCCCAAAATAATAAAGGATGTAAGTGTCAATCTCAAACTGGATAAACTCATCCATGCCTATGGATGGGGGTCTGCTCAATGTCCAAACCACAGGTCCTGCAGGGATTGGATTCATGGTTTGATCTTTTCCAGCGTATTGGTCTACAGTGTAGCTGGGCTGAAGCCAGCATGGTTATAACTTCACCTGACAGGGTTGAAATACTCCAGATTCCCATCTCAGGTTACATCACTCTCACAATGTTGGTCTCTCTCTAGGGGCACAATGTACAATTTTCCTAGGAATTGCACCACTTGGGTCTCTTTATTGTGTGTTTCCTGGTTTCTCTCTGGTTTAACTGTACAGTCAGGTGCTGCTGATGTTACACCCTTCACATCAGTCCTTCGTCCATCCACACATGAATATCACTGTCAATTGCTAGTGGTAATTTCACACCTGTTTTTCCAGCTGGCCAGTGCTTGATCCCGTGGACTCCTGAGGATGTGACAGTACCTGGCTGTCCTTGATCCGACCTGGGCAGGGTAGCAGGGCTGAGGCCCGTGGGCTCCTTTGGTTCCGCAGCTGGTGACCAGCCCCGGAGCCCAGGGAACCTCTGGAGGCACCCAGGTGTAAGTGAACCTGCTGAGGCTGCAGTCACACTCCAGGACTCCCTGGAATGCTTCAGTGTGTGGAGGTGACACCAAGCCTGGACAACTCCCCAACGCAAGCTGGAGGAGCAGAAGTCACATGCCGAGGATGGGCACCTTCCTTAACTGCAAAGTCTTGGGAACAGGGCATGAGTGAGTGACTGGTTACAGCAGTTAAGGAGTCTCTACATCAACAGGACCAACACTGACAACTGCAGTGCAGCTCTGGAAGCCCCAGTAAGGACAGAGGGTCCAAGGAAACTTTTAAAACAAAACAGTTTAAAAAGCCGGAGGAAAGTGTCCTCCAACAGCAGCATCCCAGCATGGGGCTTTCAAAAACACCCGAGCCACAAGGGATTTAATTTCATCTGAAGTTGTTGCTTTTTTTCCTTGAACATCCTCAGAGCTTTATGAAGTCACGTGGACCTTGCTGGACAACCCTGCCACACTTCCCAGGGAACAGCACCAGGCAAAAGCAACGACGAATTACAAGAGACACCAGAACAAAGTAAGAATTAATGGGCTTGACATCAGCTGGAAATAAATCTTTTTTTAAAGGCAGTCACATGTATCACATACCAGCTCATTTCAGTGCTATAGGATTTAGAAATTCCACTCCGATCCTGCCTGTAAACGTTCATCCAGACATTTCAGGTTCCATTCTGCACAAGTGTGTGTTTCTCCCAGGCAAAGCCCCGCAGGCAGCTCACACCTCCAGGGCACAGCGGGCAACCACTGGGGAAAGGAAATTGTTTGGGAAGGAGCATTCCATGCCAAGGGCTGGCAAGCAGGAGGGAGCTGATAATTTTTAAACTTCTGTCCAAGCATCTGCTGGTAGATGTGAGAGCAAAGTGAAGGCTCTCCCTCACCTGCTGTGCAGGCCAGCAGGCAGCCTGCTCTGACTGCAGAGCAGCACAGAAAATTAATTTCCAGCAATTATTTGTGCTCTGGCCAAAGAACCCAACCTCGCGTGTGAACAAGCCAGAGGAAAGCTACAGGACACCTGCAGCTGCTGCTTCAAATGCATTCAAGGGCCAAAGAAATTATTATTCAGACCCCTCTCACTCCAAGCATTCGAAAAGGCAACAGAAAGCCCATTTTCAGAGCTCTGAGCCTGCAGCAGCAGCCCTGAGTGGGTACAAGGGCTTTGCTGCCAAGTGCCCAGTATTTCCCAGGCTGGGTTCTCCCAGTCCTCTCCCAGTTCTCCCAGTCTCCAGACTCCTTGCTTGTAGACACATTCTGTGTCCATGTCAGACAGAGCCGTATTTCTTTTCTGCATCCCTAGCCAAGATTCCTCTTCCAAGTAGATGTCAGGCCTGAAATGGAAGAATTATAGCTTTAAAAAAAAAAAAAGTGTAGAATCAGTCCTCAGTATTTGGAAAGCATTACTGGACTCAGAGGGCAGGACGGAGGATTTTGGAGGGCACGTCAGCCAGGTGAGCCAAAACAAGAGCACTTGGCTCTCTCAGCCACTACCAAAGGCCATTGAAACACTCCAAGGTTTAGGGAGCCACTTGGTCTCCAGCCAGACCTCGCAGACCCATGCAGGCCACCTCCCCTGCAGCACTTCTTACTCTGTCTTGCTGCTGATGGTCAATTTAGGACAAGGATAAGAGGAGCCAATTCCAGTTATGTGCAAGGCAGCCCAAGCTGCCACTAGACTAGGCAACAAGGGAAAGGCTGGGAACTTTCTCTTTAACGCTAACTCTTCTAATTTCAAAAAGAAAAAAGCCATTAGGAAATGTGATCCTTTTAAACAAGACGAACCACAGCGAAGCATTAAGGTTTTACAACTTGACTAAATTACCTTTCTTAAAATTTCAGGAATTACCTTCTGGCACGTTGCACTTCTCCGGTAAATAATCCCCATACACAAACCTGCTGAGATAAGAGAATCAGAAGGGAAGAGTCACAGCAACATATATTACCATTTTTTTAAATAAAAACAAAGAATTGGGAGACACAAAACAGCAAATGTGCAAGCAGAAATACTGGCAAATTACAGAGCATTGTGAGGATGTGGGTTAATTTTTTTTTTTAAATTATTTTTTTGAAGTATAACCCAGCACTGCTGCTGCTTTGCCAGAGGGCTGTAACAAGGCTGCCACAGGCCCTCTGTGCTCTGCCTCAGGAGGGCACCTGCATCCAGCACTGCAGTCCAGCCCCTCTCACCCAGCACGATACGAACGTTTCACTGGCACATGCACTGGTGCTCCTGGGCTCCAAAGCACTGCAGCAGTGCCAGGCTCTGTAAGGACACAGAACCTCTCCCACAGCCCAGGCAGGGGTTGGCAGGACTCCCTGGAGAACCCTCCTCCTGGCAGCATTGGGTGGACAATGACTGGGCTGAGAGAAAAGCTCAGGGAATGGAGAGACCAGCCCAACATATAGACTGAGCTTTAGTTTAATCCTGTCTCCACCCCAATTGCTATTCTCAGGCTCATTCTTTGGGCAAGCACACTGTGCACGAGATTTGCAGAGCAGCCCTGTCTCATTACACACTTATTTTTGTATTGAGTTGGACCCAGTGACAAGGACAAAACTATCTATTAGGAAACAAATTACAGTTATTTAGTATCTCCAAAAAATGACTGTCTTTGAGAATCACTTTGCCTTTTAATATTTAATGACCCAGATCAAGAACAGAACGCTCCCAGAGGAGCAGCCAGCTGGCAGGCAGCCCAGGGGAAAGACTTCTCTGGGCTCACGGAGCACCTTCTCGAACAGCTATGTTTGGTGGGATTTGGGAAATAAACTTCATGGGGTTTGGTTTCAGAACTGGAACAAACACGTCACATTGATAACACGAAGCATCTCCATGAACACAGAGCAGGAGAGCATTCTCAGGAAGAGTGCTTTCCTGCACCTGAAGAGAACAGCAGCAGCGGCACCAACGCTCAGCGTTCCCAGTCTCAGAACACCCTCACTAACAGCACATGCACAGAAACAGCATAAACCTGGCATTAAAACTGAGCTGCAAGCCAGAAGACATCTCTAAATGCATGACAAAGAATTTAGGGACCAAAACCTTAGCGATTAAAGCACTTGGGACTAAAAACGTAATGTCTGTGAGTTGCTATTTCATCCCAAACGAGTATTTGATTGCAATTCCTGCACTAGGAAGAAAGGGGATTAATTTCCCTCCAAAGTCCTATGGCACTTGTTTCCCAGGAGGTGCCACAACTGTTAATATATCCTATACATTGTATAGGCTGCTGTAGGGCACTATCCTGTGTAAGAAATGCCTGCACAAAACAGGACTCTTGAGGATAAAGAGTCTGTTTTGGAGATTAGAGACAACTCTGCCCAGGAATGAGACAAAGAAGGCTACAAGGAGCTCACTCTCCATTGCAAAAAGCAATCAACGCTCACCTGAATAACGAACTCTGTATTGTAAAGCACAAGGTAATTTACTGATCTGAAGTAATACTCAAACATTACTGTGACCTCCATGCTAATACAAATGCCAGGCTGAAGAAATAATGCCCATCACCCTGACACAAAACAAAACATGAAGCTCAAGGAGAGGTGGGGAAATTGCATTTTAAGGCTGAGTTATGTAATGCAATTATAGGTGCTCAAAAATTCTGATATATCAAAATTCTGATGTAAAAGAAATCTTGGGTTCTAAGCTAAAAAGGTAGACAACTCCAGAACAGCATGTTCAATGACCCAGCTCTACTATTTTTTCTTGCTACAGAATACAAGTTGATTTAGAAAGTACAAGGTTTTCAAGTCCTGTTCTATACCGAAATTGGAGGCTTCTCCACGATGTGCTGCTTTGAAATGGCAGTAGTGGCATAATTACATTATCGATGTAACTTGCATTCTCTGAGGCCCAATCATGTGAAACAAAGAGCCATTTACATAAATCTTTCACTAAATAGCAGGCTCTATTACCCCAGTATTTAAACAGAAATAGACTCAATTTCCTACACAGCCCTGTGAAAGAAATAACATTACAAGTCTACAAGTAGACGTAATGGCTAGAAGAGCTGAACAGCCTCAGAAACCGAGTGTTCAGCCAGGCTTGCAAGGTCTCTTCCCCGGGAAAGCCAGAGCTGAGAGCAGCAGAGGGCAAAGCGACCTCAGCCTGGCCGGCCCCACAGCCCTGTGCTCGCTCTGCCCCAGCCCAGGGACAGCAGTCCCATGGGGGTGACACAGGGCTCCAGCCCCGTGTCCCCTTGCCCAGAGCACAGAACCTGTTGCCCCGAGCCAGCTCTGCTGCCCAGCCAGGCCAGGGCCAGCCCCGTGTCCCCTCCAGCATCCGCACACGACACTGGCTCCAGTGTCCTCATCCCCAGCACCTTCTGCGGGGCCACGGGACAGAGCCAGGACTGCCAACATCTGGAACTGCCCGAAGGGAGAGGGCTGCGGCTTTGCTGCTGCCCCACTGTCATGTCCAAACATCGCTGCTCCCGCTGTGAGAACACAACTGTCACCTGGGTCACACGGGGCACTCCTGGCCAGCAGAGAGGGCTCGGGATGCCGGGACAGGATGGACTGTCCATGCAGGGCACTCCTGGCCAGGAGGGAGAGCTCAGGGACTGTCCCCCCCTGCTCCCTCCACAAGTCCCAGGAGCTCCGGGGGCACAGCCACTGTCCCCTCAGCCTGTGCCACCCGGGAGAGAGCGGCGCTGGCCGGGGCACGGGCTGCGAGCCGGGGAGGCGAGCAGTGACTGCGGGGCAGCGACCAGGGCAGGTCCTGCCGCTGCCGGGACGGGCAGGGTCGGTGAGGCCAAGCCTCAGGGCGGCCGGGGCAGGGCCAGCACCCCCGGCCTTCCGCACCCGGTCCCGCCGCTCCCCTCTCACCGCCGCCTCACCCGCCGGGCAGCGGCGCCATCTTGTGGCCGTCCCGCAGCGCCGCACCCGGGCGGAGCCGGCCCCGTCCGCGCCGAGGGACCCGGGGCTGAGGGGACACCTGGGGCTGAGGGGACCGCCGCGGCTGAGGGGACCGCCGGGGAGAACCTGGTCCCTCGCCTGCCGCCGCATCCCTGGCCCTCAGCTGCGCGCAGCCCCGCACGCCATCCCTCAGAACGTCGGATCCCGGGAAACGGGGCCAGGGACCCCGACAAAGCGCGCGCACTTCTCCTAAAAACGTCAATGAGCTCCTGTAGTCAATTTCAATGAGCTCCCGTAATAAGTTTCAGTGAGCGCTCCTGTAGTAAATTTCTTCCCAGGCTGTTTGCGTTTCAAGGGCTTTCTTCCTCTAACACACTGAATGAACCCAAGCAAAGCCCAAAGCTGACTTTGCCTGTGTAACCCACCCACAGTGCCGGATTATCTTCCCTATCCCACTGCTGACCACGAGCGTTCCCTGAATGTTTCCAAGCCCGTTTAAAGGTGCAGAGCTGAGAGCACAGCACCAGCACACGGAGGTTTGGGAGCACCAGCCCTCCGTCCCCCAGACCTCTCGGCACCCCAGCATGGGGGTCCCAGCAGTTCCAGGGTCACGCCTTGCACCACTCTGACCAGAACCAGGCCATTCTCCACTTGCAAGAAACCCAGCAAGTAAAAATACACCAAGAATTCCTGCACTCCCACTTGTCCTCCCACAAACGTATCGATTGTTTTCTACAAACAACAACAAGCAGAATTGATCACGTTGGTCATTATTCTGAATCCAGGGAATTAAGACCCTGCATACCTTTGCTGACTGGAAGGTGTGCAGTCATTTGTAGAAGCAGCAGTTCCCTGGCACAGCATTTCTCAGAAGCTGTTGGAATCGCAGGCTGATCGGGTGGCACCGTGTTACACAGCAGAGAAAAATCATCTCAGCTCACACAGGATAATTTGTATAAAACCAAAATATTTCAAAGCAGTGAAGGGCTGGGTTTACACACAAGATCAAATGGAGCCCACGTAAATCAAAATTACAGCCTCAAAGACTTGCAAAAAATAATAATGTTTAAATCATAAATATTCTGATTCTTTCTTTTTTAACCACAGGGAAATGAGGTAGTGATATTGCAAATTCAGCTAAAGCTTTCCAGATTTCTCCGCTTAGTTACTGCTTTGGAAGGATGGTGGTTGTGAATAAATGTAAATTAAAAACCCACTACACACATTAGTCGCTGTGATAAAGATTGATAAGTACAAAAGCCTTTCGCATTTAGATACGCATATTTCAAACACAGATCACTTCATCACACTTGAACTAAATGTTTGGTTCCAAGTTCAAGGGTTCACTTTAAAATGACCACTGCACTCAGCTAAAGGCCATCCAAAAAAACCACTGGTGGTTTCCAGTGTCCAAGGGACCTCTGTGCTCCATCCTCATGAATCACAAGTTCCAGCTGATACAAAATGCCGCAGGTGAGGCCACACTTGTGATTTCCATGGGCTAGAAGATGTCTTGACATAAACATGCCCTTGAAGAACCCTTTGGCTCTGGTCTCCTCTGAGAGCTCATCTGATCGCACCTTCCCACCCTGTTCTGCAGCATAACAACATTCCAAGGTTCCACCTGCAGAGTCACAACAGAAAGAGCCAGAGCAGGAGCCCTGGAATCAACTTTAACTAAGGCATTTATGAGTAACTATGGCAATTACCTCTTCAATCCTATCACACTCTGGGTTAAAACCATGCAATGCACTTTGCTGCCACATACAAACAAGGATTATTTTACCCTTCCTGCTGTGCCCTCCTGGCTGTCACCGTCAGCCTCCCTGCTCACTTCCAACTGCCCTTCCTGAATCCCACCAATCTTTACCGCAGGAAACAACTCCATTTGCCCATTTGCATTTCTGCTCTGGTTGAAATCTTTCACAGCTAAAAGCACCAACCCTTCTTCTTCTCTCACCTCGAACTGCCAGACACAAGAAAAATCAGCTGCCTTCTCTTTTCCAAGTTTGCTCCGAGTTTTCTCCCGCGTGTTTGGGAGCACATCCATCGGTTCGCCATGGTGTGGCAGCCAACTACACGGTTGGTGAATCCGGCTGCCCGAGCCTGCCAGACACAGCTCGGGAGTTCTGCAGCAGCGCAGGAGAAGAGACGGTTGCGTTTTTGCCCTTGGTTTTGTTTTTTCTTTAAAGAAACCGTTAAATGCATCTTTGCACCCTCCTGTTCTAAGGCAAAACAACAAAACTGTAGAAGGTTAACAAAAACAAGAGAAATAGATTCAGACTAAGCATCTTTGCCTGTATTTAGTGTTGAAAGTTCCAGCACTTGTGAGGATATTTGGGTTTTTCCTTTGTAAAAGAATTTCACATGCAGTTCACATGCACCATAAGTATGACACCACTCCAGGGATTCACTTCCATTACTGAGCCATCAAACACTAGGAAAAAAATAGGTAGTCAGTTAAACAAAACCATACCACCACATCTAGAGATTCCTATATCTCATGTCATTCCCTCATGAGATGGACACTCCACCTGACCCCATCAAGATCACGTGCAGAAGCCTGGTGACTTCAGCAAGCACAGTGATGTCTTTACAGGCTTTCAGCAAACAGGAAAAACTTGATGTTTCTTGGCAGCAGTGCAAGACATCATCTACTACTTCTACCCTGACCCATAAACCAATCCAGTTTTTAAGGATCGGACAATTTTTGATAAAAGGTTATATAGCAGGAGGTGTTCTCCACCTCCCAGTGCCCAGGACAGCGGCAGCAGGAGCAAGGCTGCACATGGGAGCAAGGCTGCCAGCAAGTGCAAGGAGGCTCTGCCCACAATCACAGGGCCACAGACCCAGTTAGATTTGTGTCTATTTGAGCTGGGCACAGAACCAGGCTGGATCAGGGCAGTGCTGTGGTTGCAAGGGCAGCTTGGCCCAGCTCACCCCCTGCACCCTGTGCTGCCTGCCCAGCCGGGACAGACACACAGATAGATGGGCAAGAGCCTTTGACTACAGTAGAAATGAAACCAGTAACGTGTGACAAGTAGCCTCAACAGTCCCCTCACCGTGATGCTGCAGGAAAGTTCAAACTTCTTTGTCACATTAAATAAGAGCATTTATTGGGTAAATCAAATCAGTGCATCACCAAAGTAAAAGGAGTGCACTGGAAGTGTGGGGAGAAAATCCCCCTGCTCTGCTTGGACCATGTCACTCCCAGCCCAATCCCAGTGCACAGACAGGTCCACACTCCCTGGGACACTGGGACCTGCAAGGCTTGGGCTGAACAAGGGCAGAGCTCAGCTCCTGGCTGCAGCCATAGCCCTAGTGATGTGCTGGGATGATGGGAATAGCTGACACAGCCCAGAGGAGTGACAGTGGTTGAGAAACATTGTAATTACCAAAGAACAATAAATATTGATTTTATAAATTCACATTCGCATGTGGTTTTATTGTAAACATTATCAAGCTACAATTTCATCTGCTTGCTTTTTCTTAAGCCAGCAAACTCTCCAACAAGCCCAACAAACTGAGATCAAACAGGTCAGATTTGAAGGAAGAGATTCTGCTTAACAGCAGTTTCTGACTTGGGAGGTCTCCTCTGCCCTCAGTGATACCCCGAGGACAACATTTTTTCATATTGCAAATCCTGATATGATGAATAAAAGCCAATCACGTATTTGCTGTAGATTAATCCAATTTTGAAAAATAAACCCTCAGTACCCACCTCACAAATTCAGCAGGAGACATATGGAAGCCTAACAGCTAAAACAGCATTATTTCAAATCAGTTCAGTATTGCAGAGAAATCTTGTAACCTACCACAGGAAAATAGAAACTTGGCCGTAAATTACCCTGCCTGGGCTTGCAGCCTCAGCATGAAGCACATGTGAGCAGCCTATAACTCATCGGGGTCTCAGAGGTAATATGGGAGTTAAGGCTGCACTGACATTACTCCTGAATATACAATGTAATAAGTTAATGCTTTGGGGAAAAAAAAATACCATTTCCCCTTTGCCTCAGCCTCTCACAGCCCCTACGCTTCGTGCACCAATAGCACCCTGCAAAGTATCCCCATTCTTGCTTCACCTCGCTAATTAGAGTTTACCTCCTGCAGATTACAACATGGGATTAATATTAAGCAAGAGCCATCCTGCTCACCCTCAGCCTGGTCCTGAGAAGTGCTGAGCAGCATACAGGGGACTTCTAGTCCAGCCCTTCCTTGTAAGGAGACTAAAAACTTAGTAACTTCTATTCATAGTATTAAATACATGTCTAATTTTTTATATAACTCCAGATTTGGGAAGGGTTTTCGATTTCCTCCCATAAATCAGACCCCAAAGGTATCACTGTGTGACTAAAGACGGCGTAAGATCAACAAAACCTCAAGAAATGCCTGCCACCCTGCAGGGCATGGACAGAGCCAACAGCAACAACAGCGTCACTTGCAGTGTTCAGCAAATTAAAAGCCAGGGGAGGCACTGCTTGTAGAGGCAGTGTGCACCTGTACTGGTACCAGCTGCACACCTGTACTGGTACCAGCTGCACACCTGTACTGGTACCAGCTGCACACCCACTCCTGAATGACAGAGCACCCGGGGGCCAGACCTGGCTGTGCCAGGCACTGAGTACCCAAGGGAGGAGGGACGGTGCCAGCACAGGGACAGTTTCAGCTGAGTTCCAGGGGCAGAGACGTTTACACAGGTGCTTGACCTCCAAATGCTGATCGTTTCCTCTGGGCCAGGGATACATTTGCCTGGCAGCCCGAGTCAGGGACACATTCAACCTGGGGTCAGGCTGATTCCGAAGCTGGACAGGCTCATGGAGCAGACTGGAGGGACGACTGGGAGCAGAGGTGCAGTTTCACACTCATGGTGAGATATGTATAACGTGCCTTTCCCATCTTTGAAAAACTTGCCATTGTGAAGCTGTTGGAAGGTTAAATAGTTCCAAGTTTTCTGCAAACCCTGGTGGTGGTGCTGGCAGCCCAGTCAGGCAGCACAGATCCGGCAGGGCTGCAGCCCACTCTCGTTGCACGCCGGACACCGCAGAGCCCGGTAGGACTCCTTGAATCTGTTTGCCAGCATTGAGAACTTGCTTCCATGGCACAGTGAGCAGGGAGCAGCGCCTGAGCCTTTACACTGTGAACAACCATGTTCAGCATCACCCTCCTGAAGGAGAGAGAGCAGGAAAAAATCTGTTAGTGGGTGTGAGACACCAAAGTCAGGAACACACTTGAAAGGGGGAAAGGGAAATTCTGTCTTGTGGTCTTTCCCGTCACGGTTGCTCCTGACACACCACTCTGCCAAGGACAGTCAGTTCTCCACACGAGGACTTCAACAGAAAGACTCCCATATGTCTAGGGACAATTTGTGGCTACTGCTGAAAAAGGAGAAGTTAATGTGACTGGGCTTGTAACACAATACTCCACATTCATCTTTCTCCTCTACACAGCTCCACCCATCCTCCTGTCATTTCTTATCAATACTGTCCCAGCTCTGCAGCGTCAGGTTTGAGCTGAGCTTCATTTCTTCAGGCATTTCTCCTCACCCTCTCCACCCAGATCCCTCATCATTGCCAATGCACACCTTGTTTCAAGGTTTCCCTTGTGCCTGCACCTTTCTCCGAGGGTGCCAGGCAGCCTCTTTCAAATCCCACCTTGAAATTCCTGGGGGAAGAAGGACCTTGGTGACCTGCACTCAGCACAGGCTGGACTCAGGTCTGTGAAACTGTATCTGCCCCAAACAACAATATTAACTGTTGAGGGATCAAATTATGGTCAGGCTAATTGGGATTCTGACCAACAAAGACTCCCTCATGAGAAAACAAGTGGAAGGCACAACCTTATTTCAGCTGATATTAAAATTTTAGCCTGCAGCAGTCTCAGCCACAAAGCAGCTGTGTTTAGCCTTGTCAGGCTGAAGAAACTCTGT